CCTTTATTGTCCGGTGGCGCGGGCCCTCTGTGATTATTCGGGGCTGGAATACTTGGGAGAGGGTTTGCCTCGACAGACTTTCCCTTTGTTTCTCAAACGTCTGTTGGGTTTGATCCATCATTCTGAGATGGTTATGGCTGTTGTTGCCATCCTTTGGCGGATCTGGAGATCTCGGAATTGGGTGGTCTTTGAAGGCAAGCAATTTGGGATTCTGGCGCTCATGCGACAGTTCAACCAGCAGGTTGAGGAATGGATGGGTCTTCCGGCGGATCAGGCGCCTAGGGTTCAGCTCCCGATAATGCGCGCAACTTCACATTTGGATGGTGCCCATTGGGTTTGCATGTGGGACGGGGCTACTAAGAGTGGGTCTCATTCGGCTGGTGGGATGGTTCTTTTTAACCCAGCTCGGGCTCTGTTGCTGGCAAGAGGGGTCTAGTTCGCGCACATGGATGATCCTGCGGTGGTTGAATTGCTTGTGCTGAGGGAAGCTATTAGTTGGTGTATGGAGCAAGGTTTGTCGGAGGTCTGCTTTGAGGGCGATGCGAAGGTGATAATCGACAAAATTAATCAGGCCAACACAAGCGATAGCCGGTTGGGTGCTGTTCTTGAAGAGATTGTTCATTACTTTCGTGTTCAGCCTGGCTTTAGAGTGCGTTTTGTAGGACGGGAGAACAATAGGGTAGCTCATTTGGTAACTAGGAAAGCCGACCATGAGTCGTTTTTTTTATTTCCAGACCTGGCTGGGTTCCAGGGTGTAACTATCTTCTGATTTGATCAATATATGATATCTTTTGACAAAAAAAAAAGGTTCATACTCTACATTGTTGTTCCTTCCTTGTCCACATCTGAATCATTTAACGCTCTTTTCTTGTCATACTTTTGATCTTTTATTTTCTTCTTATTGGTAAGAGATACTGGAACCCAAGACCTCTTAGAGTAATATGAATAACAAGAGATATTGAAATATCAATTCAAGACTTTGTATCTGTGATCAAGGAAGTCAAGAAAAAGTTAAGTGAGTTGAGGTTGTTTAGAGGAAATTATCAATCATCAAATTTAGTTTTATTGTTAATGCGTGTCGGAGTATTGAATTGATATTTAAATATCTATTGTTAATGAAGTCTTAACAATAACATCAAGTATCAATTAAATACAGAGATTGCTCTTTGCCCAAAAGTTGTTGTTTTTAGGCTTGTTAAACGGTTATTCAGCGTAACCGCGATAACTGAACTGGTAACTAGGGATTAACAGTTAGACTGATAGCTGATTACATAGTAAATGGATGGTTCTCATCAACCATATTTAACTAATTAGTAACCGACGGTTAAACAGTTAACCAACGGTTATCGGCTAACTGATTGCGAACAACCTCAAAGTTATGACTGAAAATAATAGGCTTCAATGAGTCTCGAGCACAAGTACAAAATAACGGGGATGTATGTTTGAAGGTTGTACAATCCCTTGTATCCTAGTTGTACTAGTGGCTTAAGTTCAAATGAGAATGATTATATGGAATGGCTCTAGAAGGAGCGCATTAGAAATAAGGACTTGCTTATAGATAGTAGCTCGACAACAATCAAAAACATTAAGGCCCAGTTAGTATCATTTTGAATAATCCCCTCATGATTATATGGAATGGCTCTAGAAGGAGCACATTAGAAATAAGGACTTGCTTATAGTAGTAGCTCGACAACAATCAACAACATTTCCCGTTTAGTATTGTTGCCTGTTTTTGTTTCCTGTTGTGTTTTTAAAGATTGGAAAAACCAAGGAAAAAAAACATGTTTAGTTGGGTTTTTATCCTTTGTTGTGAATCAGATTTGCACAAGAGGGCCCAAATTGGAGAAACAACAATTTATTGCTTTAAATCTGATTCTTGTATTTGTTTTACACGGGTTTCCTACTAGTTGAGGATTTGTTTTCATTAAACCAACCCACAGTTCGAATCCCACCTCAACCAAAATTTCATCCTTTTTTTTTTACCCCCAAACCATCTACCCTCTTATTTCTCCCAAACCTACACACAACAGCTCTCCCCAAACCCTCTACCCTTTCGCCCAGCCGCCTCATCGCCAACCTCACACCTACCCTCCCGGCGGCTCCCTTTCCCCTCACCGCGCACCGACCGTCGCTGCCAGCAGAAGCCCCCACGCGACCACCCTCCCGCCGACGCCCAATCCCCTCCCGCCGCGCCAGCCGCCAGCAGACGGCTCGCACCGTCGGCTCCCTTTCCCCTCCCCGCCCGACCAACCTCCCGCCATATCTCTCTTTTTTGGTTGAGGACATCTCTCTTTTTTTGGTTTTTAGTTCTTATTGTAGTAACTAAACTCGTTTTTGTTTCCTGTTGTCAGCTTTCATGATTTTTCAGATTTATTAAATAAACAGGTTTGTATTTTCTATTTTTTCTGTTGTGGTTGTACATCTGTTTACACAACACCACTGCAACCACAACAGCAAGAAAATGATACTAAACGGGGCCTAGCTTTCATGTAATTTTGGGAAGGGGTATGAGTTGAGTAGTTATTGTTGGTTCTCTTATTCTTCTACGTTTCTTTAATCAAATTTGATGGGTTTAGGACATCTCTCGTTTTTGGATGAGGACATCTCTCTTTTTTTGTTTTTAGTTCTTATAGTAGTAACTAAACACGTTTTTGTTTCTTGTTGTCGGCTTTCATGATTTTTCAGATTTATCAACTAAACGGGTTTGTGTTTTCTGTTTTTTTTTCTGTTGTGGTTGTACATCTATTTACACAACACCACTACAACCACAACAGCAACAAAATGATACTAAACGGGGCTTTCATGTAATTTTGGGAAGGGGTATGAGTTGAGTAGTTATTGTTGGTTCTCTTATTCTTCTATGTTTCTTTAATCAAATTTGATGGGGGATTTTTCCAGAAATAGCACTGTTTAAAAAAATATTCCAAAAATAGCACCCAACTTCGTAAAATTCCAAAAATAGCACACTTTCTGCAAAACCGCCACCCGTACCAGCGGTTTAGGCGAAAACCGCTACCCGGGGGCGTGTTTTTTTGATGAAAAACGCACTGGTAGGGGGCGGTTTTGCAAACCGCAACCCCACCAAGCGGTCTTTTTTTTTTAATCCTAACCTAGGTGGGAACTTCAAACGAACGTATCTTTGTGTTCGGGTATTCGATCGTCGCGAATTTTTTTTTGATTTCGCATAACCTTTTGAGATCTTGCAAGCCGAAGACTGCCGAAGGTGGTTTGGTCCCGCATTCGTCCCAAAAAATGTCGTTTGCTCCCCCGAACGAGCTTTTCCGATTTCGTCAAACTTTGGACAACCATAACTTTGTGCTCCAAAATTCAAACGGCATGAAATTTTTTTTATTTCACATAAATTTTTTAAGGAATGCAACTTTTATCAGACATAATTTCAAAATGTACGTGAATTGCTGAGAAGGGAAGGTAAGCTATTCCCAAAATCTTGTATATCCAAAAATAATTCTTGTTTTGAAAATTCATTCCTAGTAAAAATTGTAGTCCTTAAAAAGTTATGCGAAATAAAAAAAAATTCATGTCGTTTGGACTTTGGAGCACAAAGTTATGGTTGTCCAAAGATTGACGAAATAGGAAAAAAGCTCGTTCGGGGTAGCAAACGACATTTTTTGGGACGAAGGAGGGACCAAACCACCTTCGGCAGTCTTCGTCTTGCAAAATCTCAAAAGGTTATGCGGAATCAAAAAATAATTCGCGACGATTGGATACCCGAACACAAAGATACGTTCGTTTGAAATTTCCACCAAGATTAGGATTTTTCAAAAAAAAAAAAAAAAACCCGCATGGTGGGGGTGCGGTCTGCAACCAAACCGCATCGTGGGGGTGAGGTTTGAAAAACCGCCCCCTGCCAGTGCGGTTTTCATCGAAAAACGCGCCCCCGGGAGGCGGTTTTCATCTAAATCGCTGGTACGGGTGGCGGTTTTGCAGAAAGGGTGCTATTTTTGGAATTTTTCGGAGTTGTGTGCTATTTTTAGAATTTTTTCTGAACAGTGCTATTTCTGAAAAAATCTCATTTGATGGTACGATGGTATTAGTGTACTGTGTTGGTTGAGTTCATAATGGATTGATATCTATGTTAAATTATTTTTTATCCAATGATACAAACTTTATAAAAAAACTCATACGTATGTAGAAAGAATCTACAAAAATGCATTGAATATAGGAGGAGCTCTTTGTTGGTTAGGTACCGATCGATTATTTTGGTCTAACCTTATCGAATCACTTGTTTAATGGATATTCAGTTAAATTATAAAATAACCGGTCACCGACTATACGGTTATGCTCAACCGACTAATATAAACAGTGTGATTAAGACAAGCACAAATTGCTTAACGATTAAGGTTTATGACCGAACCGACTAACAATCCTACTTTTAAGTGTGTCATGATGTTTTGCTTAATTTAAGTATCCTAAACGAGACTTTTCAACACATCAATTGACCTATTAGCACAACTGGTTAGAGCGTCATGCTAATAATGCAAAAGTCATAGGTTTGAGACCTGTGTGAGCCTTTTTTTTGTTGTTGTTAATTTTAGACTAAATACAATAATATTAGTCAGAACTATTAAACAACGGGGATTTATAGCCACAACTATCGATATACAAATTATTAGCCATTTCGTTAATAATCTTAATGAAAACATCGTAAATGCTGATTGGACAAATGATTTTTAGTGATGTGACAATTTTTCCGTCAAATTATTTTTAGTTATGTGGCCGATGACATAGAATTCTCCGTAAAAAATTTGATAACAGTATCAGGCTGTTAGCCATATCTTGACCACTTCTCACCCGAGGGTTGCCCCAGACTTTTTGTAAAGGGCCCCAGCCAACAATAATAGTTATAGCTTATATTTTGTATTTCGATAGTTGTGGCTATAATTCTCCGCTGCTTAATAGTTCTGGCTAATATATTGTACATACCTTTAATTTTAGGGTTAATTCCACTAGAAAGTCCAAAGTATGCAAAAAGTATCATTTGTGTCCTGAACAATTCATTATGACAAATATGGCCCGAACTTTGAGTATTGTGCGATATTTGTGTTCCGACACTTTTGTTGACCGTTAGAGATAACGGTTGACCAGACGATGGTCAACAAAATGTTGACTTATGCTGACGTGGCAAAAAATGTGACGGTCATGTAGATGGCACGTAATTAACACATCATATTATAGTTTCTTCATTCAAAATTACATTGATTTAAAAAATAATAATAATTACGGGGAAAAACCAATTCCACGTGTCCGGCTCGCCGCTCTACTCCGACTTCCACCCTACTCTGCTTCTTCCTCTCCTCCGGCGGAAGCGTCCAAGCACACTGCCGGCGAGCCGCTTTGAAGCTTGAACGAGACCATCAGTCCTTCCTTTCTTCTCATATCGGCTGACATGAACGTAGCAAGCTGAAGGGTTTTTGGGGATTTGGTGGTGGCGCCATCGATATGAGGAGGAGGCTGCTGAACACATACTTGTTTCCCAAACCGCCTATATCTCCACGACTCCACCCGATTCCAACTCCAATTCCCCCAATTCCAGTTTCCACCATCACCAACTGAACAATTTAACCAAATCTCTTCCAACAATAGAGATTTTCCCTCCAACTTTTCTCGCTTAGAATCCATTGGGATGAGATAATGAATCATTGGTGAATCGATGGCGGAGGTTGAGAACTCTCAAATGATAGTTTTCGGTGAAGCAAACAACGCGTGCTCGTTCGGAATCTCCCCGGAATGCCAGGTCGGAACTGGAGCCCGAAAATTGAAAAATCTCCAATCAAATCACTTGAATCTCTCTCGATGCGGACCACTTTTCTTCTCTGCGATTTCAGATCTAGAAGCGGAAGCAATGACGCTATCGCCGAAGGCGTTGATGGCAGCGAACCGATTCATGTGTGAGATTGTTAGAAACAAGGTTTCTAACGGGATTGATAATTGGGGATTTAGGGATTTGGAGAATAGAATTAGGGATTAAGAAGTAGAATTTGGGGAAGAACGAGAAAGAATGGCCGACGGCCGGATTAGGGATAGAGGAGAAATTGAGAGGAGTTGGGATAGGAATTTAGGGAGATAACTCTTTATTAACTTCTGCTTAATCTGACCCATGACCCAAAGTACATATATATAGGGAAATACTAGAAAACCCTAAGAATAAACCTAATTCTACTAGAAGACTACTAACCATAATAAGAATTACCCTAATAGTAATAATAATAATAAATATATAAACCCGATATAAATCGGTTTCTAACATCTCCTCCCCCTTCAGACCAACATTGCCCTCAAGGTTGACCGACTTGATCCGTTTTCCTGCCTTAATTGGGTGATTCACGTGTCTACTCCTCCGCGTCTTGCGCTTCCTTTTCTTCCAATCCGGTTCGAGAACTCGAACAAATCCCCCACCAGCAACTCTTACTTCCGTTGATTCCTCCCAAGCCACATGACCCTCATTAACCACCTTGAAATCTTCTATGAACGGCGCTAATGATTCCGTTATGGGCTTGGAGATGAAGACAACACAACCTTCTCTTCCTTCATCTCTAACTAGGCCTGCAAATGGTTGAAAGGAAGAGCTAGAGCGCAAACCAATATTAAGCCCTTTTATCTTCTTTTCAACTTCTTTTGGGCTTGGCTCACTTGAAAGCCCACCATCCAAGCCTCCTTCCTTCAATACACAGCCCAAGTTGGGCTCAACTTCATCAAGTGTCGGCCCACAATTAAACTCTTCCTCGACCCACGTCAATCTAAATCGCGGCCCGTTTTGTTGCTCCCACTGGGCTAAAACGAAACCAACGAGCTCTTTCTCGACCTGCTTCCACTGAACCACAACAGGAAAGCCTATCTTGCGAGTCAGCCTGTTCGTCTCTGGTTCAACACTTGGCTCACTCTGCTGACTCGGACCCACGGCCCACAAAACTCGGCCCATGGACTCAAGCGCGGCCCGCCCGACTCGTTGCGGCTGCTGCTCCCAGACCCGGCCTGATGATCTAGGGTTCTCGGGACAACGAGAACCACCGCCTCCCAGATTCTTCTCCAGCGACGCTCTCTCCGGCTTCTCCTCTCTCGGCGGAGAACAACACGACCCGGCCGCGGTCTTCAACCCCGCTGCGTATTCCATCGACGGTTCGCCCTCCGGATTCTTCTTTGATTCCTCATTGGTCGTCATCACCAACATCGCCATACAGACCACCTGATCCGTCCTCCCATCCAGCGACGGCCCGAGCGAAGTCGCCGACGCTAGAGGCGCCATCTTTCCCGGTGTCGATCTCTTCGCCTCGTTCTCCGGGTCTTCCTGACTCACTTCTACTGTCACTCTAGGAATTGGCCAAATGAAACCACTTCCTAAAGCGTAGTATAGCGGGTTTGGGTTTAAATGTCAACCCGGGTCCTAGATCTGATGACTACTCAGTGAATTCTTGTTATCTAGCAATGAAACTTTAATGCAAGTCTAAACTAACAAAGCAAGTAAACGGTTGTATTCAGGTTAAGAGAGGTCACCCGGATATGGTTCCCCCTAGACTGCAGTTAAGCCGGATTGCAATTACCAAGTTCAGTTTCTATGATAGTTATACTACGGAAGGTTCTTAAACAGCCTGAAGTCTCGACTAAAGGTCTTCAGACCCTCTCAATCTGAATCTCTAGCGGGCGACTAACCTCCACCGGAGTAAACAGATTGAGGCCTTAACAAACAAAACCTCCACTACCGGAGTAAATCCGGTACAGAATAGTGAGTTGGCTCCTCGACTAAAGTCACCAACTCCCTACCTTCAATCAAGGATGCTCTATCAACCTAGGCAGATATTCTCATTCTAGGTTAAAGCAGAAACAACAGGAATTTGATCAGGATTCAAGTCATTCAATCATTCAAACCTCAATCGAATATAATCAAATCATAGAATCAGTACTTGGGTTCATACAATCAAAGCCTAACATACAAATCTATGGTTCTCCATACCCAGATGAATGGGAGAACTACTCCATGGAGAAAGAAGCAAAAGCAAAAACAGACGCGGAATTCATACTGTGAAGGATGGATTCCTGCTCCTGGACGTTGATCGGCACTTCTCCAAGCTCAAACTGGCCTCCAATGGTGTTGAAGATCAATCTAGGGCACTTGGAGACTCTTGTTCATCGCTTTCTCTCTCTAGGAATCGCTCTATCTCTCTCAAAACTCGAATCCCCTTCTCTTTGGCTGAAAATCTGCTTAAAAGGGCATCAGTGGCCAAAGCACGGTCGAGGGCACGGCCGTGTAATGCCTCAGCCCGCCCGTGCTTTGGCTAGGGTTAATTACACGGCCAGTGCATTGGGGGAAACACGGGCGTGTTTGATGATGGACACGGCCGTGCTTTGGTGGCCACGGCCGTGCTTTGTCTAAGCCCTGCCCGTGTTTTTAGCCAATGTTTGCCAAACTCGAATTTGCTCTCGGTAGTAAAAGCACGGCCACAGAACACGGCCGTGTTCTGTTTTAGGTATGCCCGTGTTTTGGCTCCAGCTTGACGAAATGACTTCCGAATGCCCCGAAACTCGTGCTTAGCCTTTCCTTTGACGCCTGGGACGTGAAATATGACAAAATAGCACAACCCGGCGGAAAATAGGCCAAAATACACGACTATGCCTCTCAAACGGATAAGAATTAGGGGTGCAAATACGTGCAATTACATCGTTATCAAATTCCCCCACACTTAATAGTTTGCTTGTCCCCAAGCAAACCAAGTCAGACACAAGGTAAGCTCAAAACAACTAGGCATGACATATCGGCACAAAACACGTGGATCATACTGGATTTCGATCATTAACATATGGACAACCTCAATGACAACCTAGACAACCACCACAGATGACATTCGAATGCAGTAAAATCGAGCAAAGGAAGAGTCTCCCTTCTGTTCACCAACCAACATAGACTTGACTCAACCACTTGTTCAAAACAGTCACATCATGCACAAAGTTCAAGATATCAGAATTAAGACCGAGCAATCTAGGTCCTCACCGGGATAAAGATTATAGAGAATAAGAGAAAATGAATCGCTCACTCTCGACCAGTGGGGTCAGGACAATATGATGCGAAAAATGCGCATGCTTAATCTCTCAATCCCTAACATCTCTTCATCATGAATGCAGCCTCTAAGTGCTAGAGTTCACATATGGGGTGTCATCACTAACTAATCCGGAGGTCTTAGACACAGGTTCAGATGACTGGCTAGGGTCTTGGACATGGGGAAAAGGCCTTTTAGGTGGTGGAAGTATTCATACAGCACAAGGTTCCACATTTCCAAACCCAACAGACTCACAATCAATCAAACCAATAACTTTCTTTCTGCTATTCTAGATTACTCAAGTTCAAAGCACAAGAGCGAAGGAGGTTACATAAATGCTAGTATTTCTAAGCCAGACTGCTAAGAAACACTACTACATGGGCATTATTCAGATTTTTGGTGGTGGCTCTCTTTTGCTTAGATTTTTTTCTTTGTTTTTCTTTCATTATTTTTCATTTCATAAGAGAACCACCGCCTCTGCACATTTTCAAACACCTGCCCAACTTTTAAGCACTACCTCCAACCCTCACATTACGTTTAGCAGAAACAGCAGAGAACATGTAAAAATCACTCCGTGGAACCTTCTAAAAGATGCAAAAGGGTGACTTTTCATTGAAGACCGAAAGAAAGAAAACACACGGCTCAAAGGGGCTGACTAGGGGTATGACACACCAGGACAGTCAATTTGGTCGTGGGCTAATCCTATGCCTCCATCATCTTAGCTAATGACAACGTGAATGCTGCACATCATGGAAGAGGGAACTATCTCACAAGAAAGAAACGAGCAGGCTCAAATCTCACATGGCTACCTATATGCTCTATCTCTCGTTCTGATTCCCTGAACTAGATGCATAAATGACTATCAAAAGCAAGTGATCGAACCAAGTCATATTTGGTGAGCAGACAGTTGAAAAACTGAACCCCTACACAATTCTACTGCACATCTCAATCATCACAATAAGTTGTCTAAGTCACACTCAAGTTGTCATGTATCAAGTCAAAAGCCATTCAATTCACTAATCACATCCACAGTGCCAATACGATCAATCATCAAGCAAACATATATACGTTCCAATTCATACAAAGAACCCCCCCACACTTAAACGCGACAATGTCCTCAATGGAGCAGAGGGAAGGGGAACGATGTTACCGTGAAACAGTGGTCAGGAACGTTGACTGGATGGCGGACCAGTCAAAAGAAGGAGGCACAGAGCTAGAGACAACAAAAACACACACACTGGGTGATAGGAATCAGAGTACCAAGTCTACAATCCGAGATAAAAAAAAACAAAACAAAACGAAACCACAAAACACGGAGTCTCAGTCTGGAAAACAAGGAAAGCACAACACCCGCTCTAGAAGGCATCACCACTATCACCGGCGGTTGGAGGGTACTCATCCTCAAATCCTGGGGACTGCACGAATGGGTAGTGGACCGCGTTCGGGTCCAAGCCCAAGTAGGACATGATGTAGTGCTGCCCCGACATGAGACGACGCCCTCGGTCCCGCTCGCGGTCAAGGTGAGTGTGGATGCGCTCCTGGCCGGCCAGGATGCGCTCATTCTGCTGCGAGATCGCCGCCAACTGGTCGGAGATGGGCACCACCACTGGAGGTGGTGACCCTGGAGAAGGAGACCGGGGAGCAGGAGAGGGGCTCGCGGGAGCCTGGGCACGACGGGGAACGCGACGGGGAACTCGGCGCCCACCAGCGGCTCGACTCGGCCTGGTCGCCCTCTGCAGGTATAGGTGGCTGAGGAAGGCCCGCGATCCAGCGCACACGCCTGAGGCGAGCAATGTCATCCCTGTGTAGTCCACCCCATAGTTGCGGGCCAAGGCGGTGATCACCGGGCCACAAATGAGGCTGCGAGTCGTGCTGATGGTTGCCTTAGTGAACGTCTGGGCAAGCACAAAGCCCAGCTGGATGGTGTCCTCAGAACGACCCATCGCATGCAACAACCAGAGAGTCCGGAGTGTGACCCGGTTGGACGAGCCCTGGCTGGGTGTGTAAGAAGTGCACATCAGGTGGTTGAGGATCCTCCATTTTGGACGGAGGAGAGCAGCCCGCGTCTGGCTGGCCACGTACTCTTCATCCACACTGTCCGGCAGACAAATGCTCTGAAAGTACGCCTGGCAAGCGAAGTCGGTGGGATCTGAGAGGTCCAAGCGGAGAGGAGGCCTGCCTGCTGCTCGGGAATTGAGACGAAGTGCATTGGCGAACTCCCAGTAACTGAGGGAGTGCTCCACCCCGCCGAGGGTGAACTGAACGGCATCAGCATGGTCGGAGTTCCCCTTCGAGTTGTGGTGGAAGGTGGCATAGAACTCCCAGACCAGCTCCTTGTAGGTCGGCTCGGCGAGGGTGAGAAGACGCTGCCAAGCAGGGGAGCGGACCGCGGCCTCCATCTGTGGTCTGGCATGGAGCTCCTCGAACACCTCCCAATCAAGGTGAAAGTGCTCGGCGATGCTGCGGTCACGGAGGTTCCGCAGCTTATGGCGCTGAACGATGTTCATCTGGTCGAGATAAACCTCTATGATCCTGCAAAACACAATGAAGGACAAAGTGTACACAAGCAAACGGGGTCAATGTTAGGCCAAAACCACACCGGGAGCCCTCATATCGAAAGATATGGACAGTGGACTAGACTCCCGGCAACACAAACATACCCATCATACGAGATTTACACAGCAAAATACACCGGGGACCCTCAAATCGAGCGATTCGGACAGTGGACTAGGCCCCCGGTGAAACAAGCATACCACAACTGTACTAAATAGCACCAATCGAGTTATCATAGGAAAAATCACATATCACGCACACCATGCAACATGCAATCAGCCCAATCATCCCCCAAACCCAAAATATTCCCAAGCCATTCATTCCACAATCAATAGTTCTTCACCTAACTCTTGGTATCGATTCTCCATAAATATAAGAAAAGACAAGGAGAAGACACCTGGAGACGCAAGAAGAGACCACGAGAGAGGTGAAGAAAGTGGAAAGAAGCACCCAAAGTCGTCGGAAAACACACCGGAGACTCGCCGGAAAACTCACCGCCGGCAACCCAACCTCAGCCAAACCAGCCCGAATCTTTGGGGAATGTGCTCCTCGACGCCAAGAGCGTGGGGGCGCTCGCGGTTTGTGATTTGGAGGTCGGGAGAGGAAGTTATGGCCGGAAAATCGAAGGAGAAGGTAAAATGGGCGATTTTCCGGCGAGAGGGGGCTATGAAATTTGAAAAAAAACTGATCTGTGGGTGGGGGGGCTGAAAAATCGATTTTATAGGGGGGGGGAGCGAAACACGGGCGGGGCAGAACACGACCATGTTCTGCCTGCTCCGCGCCCGTGTTTTCACTGCCGAGGGCGAATTGCTGCCCGTGTTTTTACTGCCGAGCCTAAAATGCCTTTTTTTCAATTTTCAATCTCAAACCACCAAGATTCATTCGTTCTCCGGCTCTAAAATTTACCCAATCACACATAAAAAAGAACCGCCTGAGGCACGAAAAACTTTCCAGACTGACTCCAGACAGACTCAAAGACTCAAAAACCGACGAAAAAGAAATAAAAAATAAAAACAAAGGGTAGAAATGCAAACTGTGGTGGGGTTGCCTCCCCACAAGCGCTTCTTTACCGTCTTTTAGCTGGACGCCCATGGTGGATACTCAGGGAGGTGCAGGAACAGGTGCCTCCAAGAGCGGATCCACGTCGCTCTTGAGGTACAGCTTCAGGTTGTGGCCATGCACCCGACGGATGCGACCACCATCATCGGTCAGCTCGACCTGGCCATCCGGCAAGATGCAGGCGAGTGAGCACCCGGACGGCCAGAGTGGTCATGGTGCAGGAGGTGGGACCAGCTCATAGTGGTCTCCACTCTTTTTCCGTGCAGGCTTAGCAACCTGCGGCTTCGGCCGCCACTCCTCCTTGAGCTTTTTGTTCGGAGGCGAGACTGGATGGAGTGGCGGCGAAGGAATGATAGGAGGGTCCTGCAAAATGAGAGGAGCAGAAGGATACACGACAGGCTCGTGTACCTGATCAGAACTGGCATGCACAGGTGTGACAGCAATCATAGCATAGTGATCTAATTCAGTCACAGAAAAAGTAGCCTGTTCATTCCCAGCACGCAGGATCAGTTTACCATCATGCACATCAATAAGTGTCTTGGCGGTGGCAAGAAATGGTCTACCCAGAATCAAAGGCACATCCACATGCTCATGTATATCAAGAATAACAAAATCAACAGGATATGTGAATGCACCTACTTTAACAAGCAGATCCTCTATCATCCCCCTAGGATGCACAATGGAACGATCAGCTAGCTGAATGCTCATCCTAGTAGGGCTAAGTTCACCTAGGTCTAGCTTTTTATACAACTTATATAGCATGACATTTATGCTAGCGCCTAGGTCCGGCAAAGGACTTGCCTACATGCATGCTGCCAATAGTAAGAGGGATAGTAAAACTCCCTGGATCCTTGCGCTTTTCGGGCAGCTTGTTCTGCAGGATAGCAGAACACTCCTCGCTCAGCAACACTGTCGAGAGATCCCAAAGTTTCTTCTTGTTGGTGAGGAGATCTTTCATGAACTTGGCATACTTGGGCATCTTCGACAGTGCCTCCACGAACGGTATGCTGATGTTGAGCTGCTTCAACATTGCCATAAAATTGGCAAACTCAGTCTCCAACTTGTCTTTGTGTAGGCGAGTGGGGAAGGGAAGCTGGGGTACATGCTCCTTAACCACTGGTTGTGGCTTTGGAGCAAGGGCTTCCTTCTCCACCCGCACTTCTGCATCGTCGGCTGGAAGTGCTGAAGCAGGTAGTGGTTCCTCCTGTCTGGCCGGCACAGGATCACCAGATATGGTCTTACCGCTCCTGGTAAAAATGGCATCCAGCTGCTGGAGCTGGTGAGGATCCCGAGGATTCGGGATAGTGGTGGCAGGCAGAGTCCCCGTTGCCCTGGTAGTGTTTTGGCGGGCCAAGATGCCCACCTGGGTCTGCAGATCCTGCAAAATGGCACCCTGGTTCCGCTGACCTGCCTCTAGTGACGTGATAGCAGCCTGAGTGCTAGTCATGAATGAAGCTAGAATATTTTCCAGCTTTGTCATCCGGTCATCTGGGGCAGGGGCTGCTGCTGGCTCGACAAACTGACGCTGGGGCTGTTGGAATGGTTGCCCCTACCTAGGCTGGTAGGGCTGCTGCTGTGGGTCTGGCCCCTGTCGAGCCTGGAAGGGCTGCCTCTGCTGAAAACCACCTGCTGGTGCTGGGAAACCAGGTGGTTTAGTGGTGCTGCTGCTCCAGGCGAAGTTGGGATGCTGGCGCCACCCCTCATTATATGTGTTACTGTACGGGTCGAGGCGCCGAGCATTGGCGATGAAGTCCAACTGCTCTTGGGGAGTGGTAGACTCCCTCATAGCCTGGCAGTCCTCCACTAGGTGATTGGAGCTCTCGCACCACTGACATTGAGCTACTGGAGGTGTAGCCAAACCTCTGCCCAGAATCAGACTGTTGGGCTGCTTCAATGTCTGCACTAACTCAGCTACCTGCTGCTCAAGCCCGGATCTGGTATCCATGGCATGCACACCACGGTCCCGGGACTGTCTGCCTCTGCTGCTCTGTCCCCAAGAATGATCTCTGGCAGCCAAGGTATTGATCATCCGGTTCAGCTCGGGTGGAGTCTTAGTAAGAATATCCCCTCCTGGGCATAGAGACTCAATCACCCGCTGGGTGTCTGGAGAGAGAGCATTGTAGAAGTTCCCCACTATGAATGCATCACTGAAGCCATGATGGGGAAAATGCCCGAAATATCCCATGTACCGCTCCCAAGCATCACGAAGTGACTCATTTGGCTCTTGGCGGAAGTGAGTGATCTCCCGCTGGATCTCTGTAGTCTTCGATGCCGGATAGTACCTGTGCACGAATTTGTCAGCCAGATCGTCCCAAGAGGTGATGGACAATGGGGGCTGGGCCTCCAACCACCTCTTAGCATTCCCCGCCAGAGAATGGGGGAAAAGGTGAAGGCGGATTGCATCATCAGGGACACCATTCAGCTTGAACCCGTTCGTCAGCTGCAGGAAACGGGAAAGATGCACCCTGGCCTCCTCGTCCTTCAAGCCATGAAACTGGATAGAGGATGTAATGAGCTGAATCCAGCATGGCTTGATCTCGAAGTTGTTTGCTGGAATAGGCGGGTAGAGGATGACCGGGCAGATGTTAGCAATCCGTGGAGTGTAGTAGTACTCCAAGGTGGGACCCGGCGGCGGTGGATGATGAACCCCATGATCCTGGGGTATGGGGTGGTTCCCCATGACCTGATTCCCAGGGGGAGCCTGCTGAGAATTCCCCTGGTGTGGATTGTATTCTCCGTCCATCCCGTACTCTTCTTCAGAATCGCTACTCAGGTGGCCGTCTATGCGCTCTTCCGTAGCCAGTCTAGCTCGCTGTTGTCTCCTAGGTTGGCGACAAGTGCGGTCAATCTCTGGATTCAACGGCAGTAAACCTCCCGACTGGCTACGGGTCATGCACTACCTGCACACACTCAAGCAAGCAAACCCGTGAAGGCACAAGTGGGACAAAGCAAACAAAGCAAAAAGAAAAGCTAAATTAACAGAAATCACTTTTCTTCAACAACCTAGCCGTCCCCGGCAACGGCGCCAAAAACTTGACTCACTTCTACTGTCACTCCATGAATTGGCCAAGTGAAACCACTTCCTAAAGCGTAGTATAGCGGGTTTGGGTTTAAATGTCAAACCGGGTCCTAGATCTGATGACTACTCAGTGAATTCTTGTTATCTAGCAATGAAACTTTAATGCAAGTCTAAACTAACAAACTAACAAAGCAAGTAAACGGTTGTATTCAGGTTAAGAGAGGTCACCCAGATATGGTTCCCCCTAGACTGAAGTTAAGCCGGATTGCAATTACCAAGTTCAGTTTCTATGATAGTTATACTGCGGAAGGTTCTTAAACAGCCTGAAGTCTCGACTAAAGGTCTTCAGACCCTCTCAATCTGAATCTCTAGCGGGCGACTAACCTCCACCGGAGTAAACAGATTGAGGCCTTAACAAACAAACCTCCACTACCAGAGTAAATCCGGTACAGAATAGTGAGTTGGCTCCTCGACTAAAGTCACCAACTCCCTACCTTCAATCAAGGATGCTCTATCAACCTAGGCAGATATTCTCATTCTAGGTTAAAGCAGAAACAACAGGAATTTGATCAGGATTCAAGTCATTCAATCATTCAAACCTTAATCGAATATAATCAAATCATAGAATCAGTACTTGGGTTCATACAATCAAAGCCTAACATGCAAATCTAGGGTTCTCCATACCCAGATGAATGGGAGAACTACTCCATGGAGAAAGAAGCAAAAGCAGAATCAGATGCGGAATTCATACTGTGAAGGATGGATTCCTGCTCCTGGACATTGATCGGCACTTCTCCAAGCTCAAACTGGCTTCCAATAGTGTTGAAGATCAATTTAGGGTACTTGGAGACTCTTGTTCGTTGCTTTCTCTCTCTAGGAATCGCTCTATCTCTCTCAAAACTCGAATCCCCTTCTGTTTGGCTGAAAATCTGCTTAAAAGGGCATCAGTGGCAAAGCACGGTCGAGGGCACGGCCGTGTAATGCCTCAGCCCGCCCGTGCTTTGGCTAGGGTTAATTACACGGCCAGTGCATTGGGGGAAACACTGGCGTGTTTGATGATGGACACGGCCGTGCTTTGGTGGCCACGGTCGTGCTTTGTCTAAGCCCTGCCCGTGTTTTTAGCCAATGTTTGCCAAACTCGAATTTGCTCTCGGCAGTAAAAGCACGGCCACAGAACACGGCTGTGTTCTGTTTTAGGTCTGCCCATGTTTTGGCTCCAGCTTGACGAAATGACTTCCGAATGCCCCGAAACTCGTGCTTAGCCTTTTCTTTGATGCCTGGGACCTGAAATATGACAAAATAGCACAACCCAGCGTAAAATAGGCCAAAATACACGACTATGCCTCTCAAACGGATAAGAATTAGGGGTGCAAATACGTGCAATTATATCGTTATCACTTCCATCTTTGTCAACTCCTTCGATTTTTCAGGCGGTGATGGTCTCCTTAGGCGACGGGAAGACAAGCTCAACCCGGAACCCATCATCCTCGGCTCCGTCTCCTCGATCTCGTCGGTCGGTAGCAGGGAACCGCCGCCATCTTCCTTCCCCGACTCGCCCTCCGACGTCGAGCGGACCACCCGCCGCCTAGAAGCCACGCCGAGTTCCGGCCTCGCTCTCGGCTTCTTCTCCACCAGCGACAACGTTGCCCCTCGCCGTACTTCTGGCACGATTGGCGGCGCCAGCGAGTTCTCCCAGCAGAACATTGTCCATGTCAGCTCCTGCGGCGAGCACTCCAACTGATCCACGCTCGACGTCGCAGTGAAAATTGCAGCAATTGGCCGCATTCCTTCTGCGATTCGCAGCTCCGGCGGCTCGTTCTTCGGTGTTGAGATCTTTCGGTGGCTGGAATCCAAGTTAGATCTATAGTACCCCGCCTTTGGCCTCGCACCCCCATCGGCCGCCGGCTCTGCGTCGTCGAGCCGCAACTTCTTTTTCCTGGACTTCCAATTGATCTTGCCATTGATTGGAGTTTTCATTAGGATTGAGGTTGTCCTGGGATTTACCTGAAATGCCACCCCCAAGTCCAGATTCGGTTGTCTCCCTTCAGCGCACGATTCCACCTTCCCGGTCGAGGCCACTATGACCTTCGAAACTGCTGTGGAGATGGTTGGTATACGCTGCTGCTGTTTGTTGGTTGCGCTTGGGGGCTCTCCTGTGGTCGGCAGCTCGATCGCCAAAAGCTCTTCCCCGCCCAGCTGCTCACTCGTCCCTCGTTGTCCCCGTCCGAGTCAACCCGCATCACCGGCTTTTGCTCATCTATTGCTACGGCCTTCCTGGTCGGCAGCTCCTCGGAGCTCCCACGACGGCCTATACGCCGAGCCCGTTCACGCAGCTTTGCCCACGACAGGTTCGAGAGCTGCGGAGGTAGTTCTTCGTCAATCTCCTTGGGCATCACTTCCTCCTGTGCGATCGGTAGCTCCTCAGGGATCCAACGGCGTCCGATGCGGCGGGCCTGTTCCCGCAGTTCCGCCCATGACAGGTCCGAGAGCCTTGAAGAGCTCATCGTCGAACCAGTTGTAGAACTCGTCCCCGGTTGAGAGTTGTGAAAAACTCAATTCTCGAAACCGGGCTCTGATACCAGATGTTAGAAACAAGGTTTCTAACGGGATTGATAATTGGGGATTTAGAGATTTGGAGAATAGAATTAGGGATTAAGAAGTAGAATTTGGGGAAGAACGAGAAAGAATGGCCGACGGCCGGATTAGGGATAGAGGAGAAATTGAGAGGAGTTGGGATAGGAATTTAGGGAGATAACTCTTTATTAACTTTTGCTTAATCTGATCCATGACCCAAAGTACATATATATAGGGAAATACTAGAAAACCCTAAGAATAAACCTAATTCTACTAGAAGACTACTAACCATAATAAGAATTACCCTAATAGTAATTATAATAATAAATATATAAACCCGATATAAATCGGTTTCTAACAGAGATATGCAACAAAGGGTTTCAGCCAGACCAGAACCTGCAGCTCCACCGCCGAGGCCACAACCTGGTCTTCTTCTCATCTTTGAGGACCAAAAAATTCAAATTTCGAGCCTCCTACTGGTCCCAGAGCGACGTCGCCACTGCCACCACCATCGGACCAACAACAGAGCACCACCTCGAACATCGTTTCGTCCCCGTCCTCCATTGTGCCAAAGCATTAGTTGTCCTTCTCTTCTTTTGTGAAGCCGCCGTTCTCGTCTCCTGGGGACTATCATCGATTTAGTACCGACCCTCGCCGCCCCGCTGATCAGGAGCCTGAGGGACATGAACTGAATATCTTTGGCAAGGATGGAGAAGAGTCGGAGGCTGTGCACGGAAAAGCTCGAGGAACGAGATCTGGTGAACTCAAATCTATATTTAATTTTAAGTTGGTACAGTAAAAAGAATAAATTTATTATGATTATTTTATTTTTTATTTAATTTAATTTGAAAGTAATCCAACTTAGCTGACACATCAGCGGTCAACTCGTTGACAGTTGACCACTAACAGTCAACACTAACAAAAAAATAGTTTAGGCCAGATTTGACATATTGAATAGTTTAGCATAGCACATAAATGACACTTTTTAGATAGTTTGAGTTTTACAGTGGAATTAGCCCTTAATTTATTGTTTAGTTTCAGATAGAATCATTATTCATTACATTTACTTATATCATTTTGATCAGATTCAAGGTCACAAATTGACATTACCGGCAAAGTCGTAATATTTCGGTTTAATACACTAGTATATCCAAAACTTTCACGGTTGTGCCAATAATATTCAAATTTCCCGGAATACCACTTATATCCATGTTTTAAAGTTGTTCTTTGCCAAACCTATCCATTTTCCAATATATTTTTGGTTAAATACACTTGTATATCCAAAAACACCGTTAAAGAATTTGAAGGAATGGGACATAAGTGGTATTTTAAAAAATTTGGATATTATTGATACAATCGTGATAGTTTTGGATATACAAGTGCATTTAACCTAATATTTCTACGTGTAAATATTGAATCTGTCTGCTTTCTCTGCGCTCTCTTTCTTGTCCCCTCCAAATTTCCGATCCGAGGCCACCAGCGGGAAACAAATATTTTTGACATTTTGTTTGTTTGGATATTTTTTAGAAAGCTGGCCATAGCCATCGAAGAATCTTCTAAAGCGGCAGTATTAGTTGTTTGTTCAAGCAACGTGCGGCTCTCTATTCTTGACCGGTCTGCTACGTACAAGGGAAGGCTTCTATTCCACATCAGCGTTGTTCCAGCTAGCTATCAGTCGGTCTTGGACTCTTTGCCGACGTCCGTCGTCTTATTTAACTCAATTTGGATCTTTGGTAATGAATGGAGTAAGATTTAAGGGATGAGATTAAAGATTTTTTCTAATTTTTTTTTCAATCGACTTGTATCTTCTTTGTTTTATCTCGAATTTTGTATATATGGAATAGATTCATTGTAATCTATAAAATTATATTCGGGAAAAAACTTTGTACAACTCTGGAACACATTTGTTTTTAACCAAATTTTGATTTGTATCTTCTTTGTTTTATCTCGAATTTTACACAGATGGGATAGATTCATTGTGATCTACACATTTATGTAGTCAGCTATTTGTGTCACGCACACAACCACCGAAATTGTCATGCATCACTCCAATACCATCCGTTCTTTATTGTCACCAATACTACCAGCTACTCCTTTAATCAGGTTTAAGATAGGGTGCATACCCATATGCACCAATCAATAATTAAATCTGGATCCTTCATTTAGAAAATCCAGATCTAACGATAGAGAATTAAACATCATTTTTATTTTTCCTAATTTTCTTAATTGGTTCATATCTTCTTCGTTTTAACTCGGAATTTTTTTTTTGCACAGATACAACGAGTTCGTTGTGCTCTACA